TTAATTGATACTGCGGCTTTTAATCCGGTGCGGCTTTTGGTCGTGAAAATACGGTACCCTGTTTCCCTAAAAATAAGACCTTCCCAGATAATAAGCACAAATGGGCTTTTGAGCACATGCACTAAAATAAGCCCTCCCCAAAAAATAAGCTCTTCCTGAAAATATTGCAATGTAGTAGCAGCCTTAAGGTGACCACACTTGCCACTTCCTGCACCTAAAAAATGATAAGACTTCCCTGAAAATAAGGCCAAGCGCTTATTTGGGGGGGTTAAAAGAAAATAAGACCCTGTCTTATTTTCAGGGAAACATGATGCTTCTTTAATTTGGTGGTGTTGTTGTTTTGCTTGATCTTGTTTTTATGCATTGCAACACACTCTAAGATAATTATTTCTTATCCTTCTTCAACAAATGAGAATGTATAGGTGCAAATGGGTTCTAGAATATTGCTACGAATGAATGTGGAGGAAACTTTTCTAATTATCTGAATAGTTCCTGTTTTCCCAAACTAGAAAATCCTGTTCTATTGTTTGATGGAGCTACATAGTATATATTATTTTCCAGTAACACTGTGCCCAAAAAAATAGAGTAGAGTTGTGTCTGTTTATGTGATCAAAGACCTTGAGCCTAAAACATATGAAGAACAATTGCAGGATTTGGGTTTGGCTAGTCTAAAGAAAAGAACAACTAGAAGTGACTTGATAGCAGTATTCCAATATTTGAGGGGCTGCCACAAAGAAGAGGGGGTCGAAGTATTCTCCAAAGCACCAGAGGGAAAGACAGGCAACAATGGATAGAAATTAATCAAGGAGTGAAGCAACCTGGAATTAAGGAGAAACTTCCTAACAGTAAGAACAATTAACCAGTGGAATAGCTTGCCTTCAGAAATCGTGGGTGCTTCATCACTGGAGGTTTTTAAGAAGAGACGGGACAACTACTTGTCTGAAATTGTATAGGATCTCTTGTTTGAGGAGGGGGCTGAACTAAAAGACCTCCAAGGTTCCTTCCAGCTCTATTCTACTCTCTTTGAGTCAGTGTTGATTCCTGGACATACAGTGAAACTCAAAAAAATAGAATATCGTGCAAAAGTTCATTTATTTCAGTAATGCAGCTTAAAAGGTGAAACTAATATATGAGATAGACTCATTACATACAATTAAGATAGTTCAAGCTGTGATTTGTCATAATTGTGATGATTATGGCATACAGCTCATGAAAACCCCAAATCCACCATCTC